GCCAACACTGTCTAGGAAAATTGCTCCTGAATAAAGCAACTCCCAGCTCAAGGGACCTGTTGATGGTGTGACTGGAAGAGGGCTTTGGAAAACACAGATCACCTCCTGGAAATACCTCTAACTTGAATTTTGGCATTTCTTTCCTGGGCAAAACTACTGTCTTCATTTGCTTGTTTACCTTCACTTTAATTGGTAAAGGACTGCAAGCACAAGGGTTGCAGCGTTGAAGTGTCCTTACTTGTGGTGGTGATCTGGAGGGAGTGTGGTCAGCATGTGCCAGGTCTTCTCAGGTGTGGACCCTCCTGTTGCACATCTTTGTTTCTCAGGGATGATGTTGCTCATCATCAAGCAGGGGTGCTCACATTTAAACACCCAGCAGGAGCCCCCAGGCACATTTGGTGGAGCTTTAGCATGTGCACAAAGAAGATCCTAAACATGAGATGCTAAATCCACATCCAGGGGATTTTTACCAGCTCTAACCACTCAGCCCGTGAGTTGGGGGGCCAAAGCAAGCTGGTATGTGGCAGGATATTTTTGTAGCCACAAGGATGCATTCCATCACTTTTCAAAGCACAGGATAACTCATTTCCACCTCCCTACCTTCCCAAGTAGACCACCACTTATCAATTCTGATATTTCAACAGTTATGAGCTTAAGAGTGGAGTTTAAATCAAAAAGCTTGAAGTGAGATATGCTCATCAGTGTGGAGAATTTGGGGTCCTGACTCGAGCTCAGCCTGGTGATGTTTTCCCTGTTGATGTTATCACAGAGCCTTTTTTTCTTCTGGGTTATCTCCAGCTTGCACAGCTTTGGGGTGGTGATCCGAGGGGCTGCTCAGCCCATCCTTATGGTTGAGGTTGTTAAGGAGTGTGCAGTCACCCAAAATCAAACCCTAGGCATTGAGAAATCTTCTGGATTTCCTTTCTCCCACTGTGGGAGCTCTGTGTGTCTCTGGTGATGGAGAAGAAAGGCTTTCTCCAGAGATCCTGCCTTCCTCAAGGAATGAGGGAGCAGGAAAGAGGCTGGGTGGGATGGGAGGTTCACCCTGAATCTGCAGGCGGTTTGTGGTGTGGGGCACCAGCACTTTCACAGCATTTTGGTATCACGAATCAGGGCTTGTCACGAGGAGATGCTGCAAGTTCTTGTGGAGGCTGAGTACATGTGGCTGCTGTCCCTGGCTGCTCCCAGTCACGGCTGTGGGGCTGAGCTGGAATCAATCAGAGCCTGTGGATGCGCCGTGACAAACTCCCTGTGCCCAGAGGCGATGGTCCCATAAATCCTGTAAGCATGTGCTTAACTTTGGGGAGCAAGGTGATTGCAAGGCAATATTTTATTCTTGTCAGCTTCAGCGTTAACAGTTACTAGAATCACTTGGGTAATTAAGCTCTTGGAAGAATAAAGTGAAAAAGCACCAGGTGTCTATGGAGATCTAAATCATTTTTCAGAGTGGGCAGAAGAGCAGTTTTTGGCTTTCCTCAGTAGCTGGAGTCCTAAAATCTCCAGAGACAGTGCAGATCCTCTCCAAATGAGCTAAAGGCAGCAGCCCTGCTTTTCTCAGGTACCTTTTGCCAACCACCTACAAGAAGCTGGTGAGTGACCAGGGCTTCGTATGTGACCATTGGTTGGAAATTTCAAAATAAAGAAAGGCCTTTTGCAAAAGGCATGGCTAAAATTTCATTCCAAAGAGTATTTTTGAGATGTATTAGTGTAACTGTTGCTGGAGTAACTGGCTACAAAATGCTGGTGCTTGTTTTGCAGTTGGGAAAGATAAGGCTGGGACTGTAGAAGGTGAACTGGTTTCCTTTATCTGTGGGATGTCATTGGGATGATCCCATCACTGTTTATAAATATTTATTACTGGGGTCATAGAACCATCATAGAATCATAGCATGGTTTGGGTAGGAAGGTAGGTCCCTACCTCTAAAGATCATCTTGTTCCACCCCCTGCCATGGACAGAGACACCTTCCACTAGCCCAGGGTGCTCCAAGCCCCGTCGAGCCTGGCCTTGGACACTTCCATGGGCAGCCATAGCTGTTCTGGGCAACCTGTGCCAGGGCCTCTCCACCCTCACAGGGATCAATTTCTCCCCAATATCCCATCTAACCCTGCCTTCTGGCAGTGGGAAGCCATTCCTTGTGTCTTGTCGCTCCATTCCTTCTCCCAAGTCCCTCTCCAGCTCTCCTGGAGCCCCTTTAGGCTCTGGCAGGGACTCTGAGCTCTCCCTGGAGTCTTCTCTTGTCCAGGTGAACACCCCCAACTCTCACAGCCTGGCTCCAGAACCTCCTCTCTCTGGGTTCCATGCAAGGCTCTGGGCTGAACTCTGCAGCCTTGGCCAGGGCCAGGACAGGGCTGTGGGGAGGAGATTCATGGAGCACCTGGAGATGGCCAGTCCCTGCTCCCAGGAGCAGCTGCTTCCCAAACACTCCCCCAGGTCTGTCCCTGAGAGGAAGGTCACCTTGGCCAAGGATTTTTGTGTCCAAAGCTGCCAAAATCCAATAAAGCCAAACCCCATTGTTTGGTCAGTGCCTTTCTTGGGGTCTTGTGGCCAGATGAGCAGCCCCAAAATGGCTTGTGCCTTGTCATTGCTGGCCAGGAGCTGGGCATGCCACCAGCTGGGCAGGACTAGCTCAGAGTCCCAGGGGGTGACACACAGTCCCCCTTGGGGAAGAAGCATGGAGTGAGGAGATGGAGCAACCACCTGAGCCCACACATGACGTGGGACCAGCCTGGCAGATGTCCAGATAGTGCATCTGGAGCTGAACCAAGTCAGGGCTACTTACATTTATGTAGGGCAGGATGATTAAAGCTCTGGCCTTTGCAATTCCACCTAAGTTGGGTAATTAGAGAACTGGCTTTATTGACTGGGTAGCATGGCATGAGGCAATGTGCATGCCCAGTCCACACCCCCTGCTCTTGATCCAGGCAAAGGAGAGCTCAGGGAGCTGCCTGTGTGTCTGAGGATGCAGCTGGGTACCCAGTGAGGGTTCTAGACAGTTCTACCAGGCCATCGGACACTTAATCTGCCCAGATCCCTGAGGGAACCTGCATGTGTAAACCTTTGTCACTGTGGCCATCATTATGCTGTGTTCTAGCAGGAAATAAACACACTTTGGGATGTGGCTTCTAATTTTCTTCCTGTTTCACAAGGGATTTGTATGAGACAGAAGCAGGAAGCAGGATCCTGCTGCAGCAGATGACTCCTGTCCCAAAGAGCTGATGAAATTTGTCACACCTGCACCACATACTGCCCTGATGAATCTCATCTTCATCCAGGCACAGTGGGTGAATAACATCACCACATCCGAATGGCCCCACTTCACCCCGGCAAGAAATTATTCCCCAGGGCATGAGGAAGTGGAAGGTGAGCACCAGTGGGAGAAGGTAACCCTGGAGCCCTCCTGGGGCTGTGCCAGGCTCTCACATCCATGGTGAACAGTGGTGGAGAGGGGGGAGCAGCTGGTTCTCCTCTGGGCCAGACTGCAGCCTTGTTTCCAAGCCAACCGGAGTTCCGTGAGCTCCCCGATCGCTGCAGACAATGAGCCCAGTGAGCCTCCTCCATATCGGGCTGAGCACAGCTGATGCTGGAGGCAGGGAAGGCTGAGACAAAGGGTGCTCAGCCCCTGCAGCACCTCAGTGTTCATCCTGCCCTTTGTAGCAGCTCAGTGTTCAGGTGAGAGGCTCTGGCAGGGATGAGACCACCTGGGAACAGCATTCCTGAACTGCCCAGGGCACTTGTCAACTCCAGGAAGTAAAAAAGTCTATCCCTGGTCGGGGGATGAAACCACTTGTGTGTTCTTCCCCCTGCAAAATGCCAAATTAACAGAGAATAAAGGGAATCAAACCTGGCACCAGTGAAAACCCAGGTAGTACCATCTTCATGGACTAGAAAGCAACACTGGAGCTTGGAGACCTGGCACAATCACGGTCCCCCCAGGGATGGTGGGCTCATGTTTATCCCATGGAATGATTAGGAATTTCTGCCTGGTGGGTCTCAGTGCAATTTTATTCTGATTTTGAGGCAGTGCAGCCTATTTTCCTATACCTTTCCCTCACATTCGCATCACATTTTCCTCACAAGTCGCTTGCCAGAGACTACTCAATTTAATGGTGGCACTGGGAGTCTTCTCCACACTTGGACCACAGCGCACTTCATGCGGGCTCCATGCCCCAGCTCCACCTCACGTCCCATCACAGGGTGGGCAGGAGAAGCTGGTAACCCCCCAAACCTTCTGCTCCCCCAGCACCCAGCTTCATCAGGAGCTGTAGGGATAGGACAGAGTAATGGGTACAAACTGAAAAGGGGAAAATTTAAGTTACATATTGGGGAGAAATTCCTCCCTGTGTGGGTGGGAGGCCCTGGCACAGGGTGCCCAGAGCAGCTGTGGCTGCCCCTGGATCCCTGGAAGTGTCCAAGGCCAGGCTGGACAGGGCTTGGGGCACCCTGGTCTAGTGGGAGGTGTCCCTGCCCATGGCAGGGGCTGGAATGAGATGAGCTTTAAGGTCCATTCCAACCCCTTTATATTGTGTAGCACCAGGAGCAGCTGAGGGAGCTGGGGCGGCTCAGCCTGGAGAAAAGGAGGCTCAGGAGGGACCTGCTGGCTCTGCACAGCCCCCTGACAGGAGGGGACAGCTGCGGGGGTCGGACTCTGCTTTCAGGGAACAGGATAAGAGGAGACGTCCTCAAGCTGTGCCAGGGGAGGATCAGGTTGGACACCAGGAGGAATTTTTTCATGGAAAACGTTGTCAGGCCTTGGATGGGGAGATGGTGGAGTCCCCATCCGTGGAGGTGTCCGAGGAAGGACTGGATGTGGCACTCAGTGCCGTGGTCTGGTTGACAGGATAATGTTGTGTCTCAGGTTGGAGTCGATGAGTTTCGGAGATCTTTTCCACCCCAGTGGGTGCGGTGGTTCCCTGCCGCACCCACCCTGGCGCAGCGCCACACTCAACATGGCGGCGCCGGCCTGAGGCGGGCGGGGGCTGGGTGGGGGCGTGTCGCGGCGGCGGCGGCGGGGCCGGGCGCGGGGAGGCCGCGGGAGCCGCCGCCGCTCCCTCAGCGCCTCGCCATGGACTCGGACGAGGGGTACAACTACGAGTTCGACGAGGACGAGGAGTGCAGCGAGGACAGCGGCGCGGAGGAGGACGAGGAGGACGAGGAGGAAGACGAGCCCGACGATAATCTGGACCTGGGCGAAGTAGAGCTGGTGGAGCCCGGGCTGCGCGTCGGCGGGGAGCGCGACGGGCTGTTGGGCAGCGAGACGGGCGGGCTGGGCCCCGGCGGCGGCGGCGGCGGTGGCGGCCTGGGCGGCGGGCCGGGTCCCGGCGGCGGCCCCGAGCAGGAGGAGGATTATCGCTACGAGGTGCTGACGGCCGAGCAGATCCTGCAGCACATGGTGGAGTGCATCCGCGAGGTCAACGAGGTCATCCAGGTGCGGCCCCCCGGCACCGGGACTGGGGGGGACGCACCGGGGAAGGGGCGTGGGGGGTGGCGGGACGGGCCAGCGGCCTCCTGCGGGGCACCGGACCCGGCCCGTCCGCGGGCCAGGGCCTCACACGCACTTCTCGGTAACCCCGGGGCTGGAGGGGGCTCCTGAGTATCCCCCGGGGCTGGACGGGGCTTAACTCGGTATCCTCCGAATCTGGAGGGGCGGGGGGGACGGCCCCTCTCGGTACACCCTGGGGCTGGAGAGGGCTCCTCGTCACCCCGTTCTCCCGGGAGGCCCCTCGGGCCCGGCCAGGATCTGGCTTCCTGCTGTGGAAGCGTCGGGAACGAGGCCTTTGGCACTGAAAGGGCTCCTCTTTCTTTGTGTGGTTGCGACCTGGGGGCCGTAATCTGTGGTTTTTTCTTTATTCTCCTCCGTCCTCATGATGTTTGGCGGGGTGTAGCTCCTCCAGCTCCTTTGCTAACCCGCGGAGTCCATGGCAAGCCCTGGAATTCCAGGAGAGGCACCGCTCTGGTTTTGTTGCCGTCTCCCTTCCCTTCCCCCCAGCCACACACAGAGGTTGAACCTTGTGTTTATTTCCAGCACACACCAGGAGGGGTACGAGCAATCCCTTCACAACAGTAACTTTTTTTACCCTCAGTTTTTAAGCGTGTCTCTTTAAAACTGAAATAGAGTTTGAAATAACATTTAGCTTCTTTAGATCAAAGTATCTCAGTCTTATCTTTTGGCTCCTAAGTTTTTGGGGAAAAAAAAATCAAGCCATTGAAGCGGTTTAGCATCCCTTTCTAAATGTTCGTGGCAGGGTTTGGCTCCAGCTCACCATAAAGTTCTTGATGCAGTTCACTTTTCTTCAGATGATGGGATTTCTTTAGTTCCCGTTTGCTCTACCATTATCCAGAGTCACTAGGAAGTGCTACCCTTTTCCAGTATGCCAAAGGGAATAGCATGAGGAATCTGTGGATATGAAATATTTAGGGATCCAGTGCCCAGAAAGCAGTTGTTTCAGTGGTTGTGTGTATTGGTAAATATCTTTAAACATGAGATGCCTCAGTGAATGTTTTTTCTCCAACTGTCCTGTGCTCTGCAGTGGCTGTAAAGCAACTTTAAAATATTGCTTTATGTGCTATAAATCCCCTGTAGTTTATATGGAGCTTGATGCAAACAGCTGTGAAAATATTTGCGTGCTAAATTAAATTAGTAAATGGCAATCCTTGAGTCAAATTAAAGTTTATAACTTTAATGATAGCATTGCCCATGTAAAGCTGAATAAAGGAGTCTGCCCGGATTAGCTGATTACCCTGCAGTTAAAGAAGATCTCATGGTTAAACAGGGATGTTTCTTTGCTCCCAGTTATTGATCCTGATGTAGGGAGGGAAACAGTTGGCAGGCAGACATGCAAACAGTTGGGACCTTCAGCTTTTTACTCTTTCAAATAGCTATTAAAATAGTGAGTCTGTGTTTAATGATTAAGATTGCAAAAGTCATGGCCCATTCTGTTTGTATTGAACAGACTCTGACATATTCCCTATCTTTGCATAAGACAAGTGGTGGAAAAGTTGCTGCCAGTGAGGAGCTGTGAGTGTTCCTGCTCCTGCATTTTCCATACCTGGCTGGTGGACTCACCTGCATGTTCATGAACTAATTTGTTAGAGAAGGTCCTGATTGCTGGTCTGAGTGGATTTGCCCCCTTCTACACTGCTCTGAAGCTGTTTGGAGAGAAATGGGTGGAGGTGAGGAGCCCCTTGTTGTGCCCCATCCCCGGGGTGGCAGCGGGAGGCCTGCCCCTGTGCTGGGCTCTGCAGAACCACCCCCGGACCTTCCGTGCCTGCTCTCCTGCTCCACTTACTGCCTGCGGTTTGCAGTACTTCCTCCTGGTTTAGCAGAGCAGGGTGCACAGAGTCTGTCTGTTGAGAATGTCATGGGTAAACTCGGGGCCCAAAACCAACTTATGCCCTGGAAAGCATCAGGAGAGGGTAGGAAAGCACTCAGTTGCCATGGATGGCTGTTAAATGCCAGCTTCCTGCCATCACATTTCTGGGCTGTTCTGAGGTAAATGGCCCGACTTTGGCCGATGCTTCAGGATTTGCTCATCCTCACTCCTGTGGCTGCTGGTGAAATCTTCCAGGGCTCTGTTCTGTTTATTTCCTTGTGTTTGGCACCCAACCAGGATTGCTGCTGCTGCTTTTCTGGTTCAGTAAACCTTTTCTGGAGTCACATTGGCTCGGGATCCTGCTGCGGATCCTCGGTTGCTGAGCTGTGATTCACTTGTTCCAGTCAAGTACTGGATGGCTTTGGTCCCTGTGTGTCTGCCGTGGGTTCTTGGGAGCAAATAGTGATGGTTATGGTTACATTTTTGAGTGCTTTGAACTTCCTTGTTCAAGGGAGATGTAATGTACAGCCTGAAAACTTCATCTGTGGGTCTTGTGCTCCCTTATGAGTGATATTTTTGATGATCAAGTGTAAGGTATAAATGGGGTTTTGTCATACAGCTGCAGCAAAAGGAAAATGGAACAGGGAGCCACAGAGTATTTGCAAGGAGGTATCTGAGCCATGGCAGGTATAACTCTATTAAAACACTCAATTTGAGCAGTTATTAGCTGACAGGGTTGAACGGTCTAAGTTAAATTTTTTCTCCTTTCTCCCATCCATGTGGTCATTTCCAAATAAAAGCTATGTACGAAAAAATGAACTTTTCAGGGCAGGGATTTGATATGATGGGGACTTTGCAGAAGTAGGAGCTAACTTGCAGTTGCTGCTCACAGAGCCTGTGATTCACCCCTTAGTGTGGAATGGGCTTTTGGAGACATGTGCTCAGTGCCAGACTCTTAGCACTTGCCCTCCCTAAGGCCACTGAACCTGCAGTGAACCAGGCAGGTTTCAGAACGTCTCAGATATTCTGAATATTTACACTTGCTCTTTCTTGTCTGAGCATAAGCAGGATTTCAGGTGTTTAGTGGTGGGTTCTGTACAGTATTTGGCACTTATGCTCATAATCTGATTTGTCTCCATGTGTCGCACAACAAGAATTCCCCTTGCTCTCCAAATGCAAAAATAGGGGTATGAATAACCCCATAACCTTGTGCTGTTGGTTGGCTGAGACTTGTGAACCTTAGAGTATTCCTCCCATCCTCTCCCTGTGATTAGGTGGAGCAGAGAGCCATTTGCCATGGTATTTGGAATTTTAGTTGTCTAAGTAAACAGGTGGATTTCTGGTGGTTTTCCAGCTGCTGGCAGAATAAGTTAGCAAGGGACTGTAAAAACCTAGACACAGAGGTGCTGTGGAACAAAAGGCTTCTCCTCCCAAAGGTATTTTCCCACAGTTGAATGTCTTCCCCATATTCTTCCTCTCTGAACTTTTGTCCAAAAAATCCCCTGCCCCTTCTTTTTTTTTTTTTTTTAATATCAGATTGCTATTTCCATTTTTGCTCTAGATTTTTTTTCTGAAAATAAACTTGAAAAATGTTTAGAATGGCATATTTATTTCTGCTCTGAGTAGAGCACATGATGTGTCTCTGTAGCCTGGCTTGGCCCAGTGTTCTCCTTGCTTTGATGCAACCTTGTGCAATTCCAGTATTACCAGGTGGGATTAATTTCCCCTTTTTACCTGCCTTTTTCTGGAGCATTCCAGTGGCATTGTTGTGATGTCACTGACCATATTCATTCTTCCTGGCCTTTGTAATGTTGAGGTGTTGAAAATACTGGGATGAAGCTCTGAGGTGGCAGAAAAAGGAGTTGAGCCTCTTGTTTTCTTTCCCCACCCCACAGCAGGGATCAGAATCCTGGACGTGGCTGGGTGTTGTGCCTGGCCTGCAAGATTGTGAGCATGTTGAGCTTCAGACCTGAGCTTTCTCTGGAAGGACATGGCATTCCTGGATCCAACAAAACTTAGTCTAGCTCGAAAATAACTTTTCTTTTGATAAAAGGCTTTAAATTAGATTTTTTAGAGACCAGGTCAGATGTAACATGAGAACATTTGCAGCAAGTACAGGTTTCTCATTTACATGATGGAGCTGGATGACTTCTTTGGCAGCAGGGTGAGGTCCTTGCTTGTAGAAGCTTTGCCATTAAAATATGTCCAAACCTCAGACCACTCTGAAGTTTAAAACCCATCTTTGTTGAGGAATGGCTTTTCCTGGAGGCCCCTGGAGTTCACAGCCCTGGTTAAATAGAGCTCTGTGATGACAAGTGCAAACCCATTGTTACAGGAGGGGTCTTGTTAAACAGTGACTTCACTTGCTTGGACAAAACATCCTGATTTTCAGGCAGGACTTAGGAAATCTTCCCAATACTGGTGTAGTTCAGCATACTGTGGGCAGTACATTCCAAAGGTGTTGCCCAAAACAGGGATGACTTGCCAGTGAGCAACAGGAATTGCTGCTTGTAGTACAGGGTCGTGCTTAAAATTGTATTTAATGCTCAAGATGACATCTTGGAAATCTGGAGTGCTTGGAGCTGCCTGACAAGCATTAGGTGGGAGTCTGTGGGTGGAAGCACTCGAGGCTGGTGCTGCTTCCATCCGGGTCCTCTCACAGCCCGAGGTGCATTAGCAAACCTCCTTGTGTGGTTACTTATTTGATAATAAAATTCATGTCAGGGGCCTGAATGTTATGATGCTGGAAGGAAATGCTTTGTTAAACCCCATGTTTCTGTCACGTGGTGTTTATAAGGTGTTTCATTATGGTAGGAATGCATTTAATATTTCCAAGGGATGGAATAAACTTCATTGTGACAAAGCATTCCTGGAATCTTGTATAAGCAATCACTCCAAAGCTTTTGGAAATGACATGGTGTCTGTTCCTGACTGCCAAGACATGTAATTCTGAGTATGATAGATTTTTTTTTTAAATATTGCTTTAAATTTCAGCATTAGCAGGTAGAAAAGTCTTGTTAAATCTCCAGAGGAATTTCAACTTAGTACTTAAATATGACCCATTTGCTTTGTACTTTATGTTTCTGTTAGGCCGCATGCAAATCTCATGGTTGAC